ATCAATATTGGTCACTGAGTTCAGTGCTGGCAAACAATATTTTCCCATAACTACATAAACATGTAACAATCTACACTGTATTTTCAGGGTCAGAGAGAGCAATCCTTAAGTTCACTTCAATTCAGCACAGTAACATGACCATGCTGTCAACCTTACAATTCTTATAATGTTAGTTCAGAGAATTAAGTACTGGATCAATTAATTATCCCCAATGATTGATATTTTCCTTTATTCTTATCACTTATGTGGTTGATATTGTATTGATATTGTAAGGAGAAATTCTGTCTTGGTCACTCAAAGGAGTTAAAGGAATAAACAGAGGGGGGGAGATTTCAAATGAAAAAGTTTTTTTTTTTTTTAACTGAGAGACAAGAAATATCACTAACCAGTCCTGTAACAACAATCGAAGAGTATTTGTAAGATTCAAACCTGAGATGGAGCATCTGAGGGAATTTCAGCTGGATGGAAATCACTTCGATTTACAGATACCATCAGAGTAAGGACACGACGCCCTGAGGACTAGAAAGAAAAAGGAAAGTGCAGCTTTTCAACCAGAGATCTAAAAAATACACGAAGTTCTCCCTGCTCACGGATAAAATCAGCAAAAATTTTGAAACTCTCGCAAAGACAACTTTAAACACTGTGCTTCCAGAGGAAATGAACAAAACTCACTCCAAAATACATGCGCTTACAGTGTGTTCTAGGAATAATTATAACGTAAAAAAATTGACTGTACTGTGAGAAATGATAACTACAGTTATATAACATTTAAAAATTAATGGTTGACTTGAAGCACATACAGGAATCATGTTCCCTAAGTTTTGATGGGACTGAAAATGAGGAGAAGGTTACAAATTAGAACTGACAGCATATGTGGCTGCAAACAATTAACACTTACAGCATTGTATGGTCAGAATCAGGGTAGCCTGCAGAGCAGGTGTAATTTTGGTGAGCAATTGCTTAGAATTTTCTTAATGAAAATTATAGCCGCCATCTTTGATTTTTATGGCAGCGGAAGGCTGAAGAGAAAAGAGATTTGTACCAAGGGGGTGGTCAACAGTAAAAAGTAGGAGAGGGTTGTGGGTCAGGGAGTGAAGATTACACCTGCCCAAAGTCATTGCTATTTTCCAAAACTCAGTTCACCCAACAGATTTCCTGATTGGTGTGGTTAAGCTCCAGCTGTCAATCACAAGCCAAATGTGTCACTTGGGCATCATTCAAAGAGAATGATGGGAAACTGAGATTGTGAAGTTATTAGTTTCAAATCCCCTCTTGAGGAAGCACTTAAGTGTCTTTCAGAGTTTAATATGTCTTGTGCAGTAAAATTGGAACCAAAAGAAGCAATTTCTACAGTGGTTTCAGGAAAGGATGTACTGGTCATGTTGCCAACTGGCTTTTGGAAAAGCCTGATATTTCAGGTGTTGGTTCTTATGAAAGAAATAATGACAGGAAAGCTTCAAGTGTAATTGTCATATGCCAACTTCAACATATTTTTTATGATCAAATGGAATAAGCATCTTTGATTGGATTAAAGATAGTTACACTCATGGATTGTCATTTGGAGGATATACAGTGTGGCAAATATCAACTCATTTTGCATCAGCAAGAACATTTTTTGTTGATGTCATTTTTTTTGTTGATGAAAAAAACAGCCACATCATTTCACCAGAGTATACCACTTTGCACCAAACAAATTATGGCTGGTAAACCTTTGAGTGCAGTTGTTTGTTGCTTCCAAGTATGGTTTATGATCAAATGGGAGAAAACTTGTCAAATGGATTGATGGCAGCTATACTCGCAGCTTTTTGTTAGGAAAATAATTTTATAGAGTGCAGCAAATAATAGCTCATATTTGTGACTACAGAGGAGGTTTTGTGAAAGCCATTTCTCTCCTGGCTGAAAAGAAACTGCCTCACTGTATCACTCATCAACTCTACACGTGTTTGTTTTTGTCATAAGAGAGTGTGTCTGTGCAACTTATCAGGGGGTGTTTTTCAGGCGTCTTCTTGTCTCCTCAACACCCTACATTAATCAAAAAGCTACAGTATACACTGACATGGAAACACACCATATCACACCCTGAACCTGATGTTTGCAGAGATTGTAGAAACATTCGTTTCCAATGACTGGCAAACAAACACCAATATCTCAGTCTGTGTTGTTAATGCACATTAGTTGACCCATTTAAATTAACTACTGTACTACAAATGTACATTTAAACTGGGTAAGAATACTCACTGTGTTAACTTGTGTGGCAAACATGTAGTTATCAATAACTTCAAAGTCCTCAACATGTGTTATCAACAGTGCCGAGAAGTGGGAAAAATAGTCAGTTTTAACTACATTGGAATAGCCACCTGAAAATTGGAGGAAACAAAATTTAACCCAATGATTTTAGATATATGAAAATTCATATATTTGCACTGCAGTGGAGAGATGAAATTAAGAGATCCTCGCAGCTAAGAACACTACTGAAACGAGTAGTTGTAAATAGGACCTGAAAAAATTCAGGCCCGTACGGGATTTGAACTCATGACCTCTGTGATACCGGTGCAGCGCTCTACCAATTGAGCTAACAAGCCAACTGGGAGCTGGTCAATGAATTGGGTCCAAATAAACATCCAAGTGAATTCATATAATATTTGCACTGCAATTTAACCCTTTACACCCTAACATCAGCACAGGTATGCATATCCTTTGTACTATTCTTCATGTATTTCCTAAGGTTCTGACGAGGAAGACTTGTTTAACTATTAACCCTTTAACTTCCAGAAGTGATTGACATGTAACTTCTCCCAATAATATCCATACATTATCCAACAAACAGGTAATGAGAAGACTCAAACTTATCAGGTAGAAGTTTATATCTTGATCTAACATCAAATCCTTATAACAAACTTACAAAGAAATGTGTAGCAGCTAGAAGGGAGAATTAACAATTAGATCTTGGGAGTTAAGGGGTTAAAAGCTTCTTTTATTTGGTGATCATTTCCTTAATTATCATGACCTCAATGTGTGATTCAGGGATAATTTTGTAAAGAGAAATTAGATACTAGTCACTCTTATGGGTCAAAGGCTTATGTAAAAAGACAGTAAAAAAAAACGGTCTTGATCTGAAATAAATTTTATCCTATTGCAAACATGTATTTTCAAATTTACTCAAAAAGATCGCATAAAATTGTGAAGAAAATTACAAAAAACAAGGGGAATAGATGCCAGAGGAATAGTTGCTTGTTTGCTTTATGCAATCACTTGTTTCCAGCCCACTACATACTGCACTTTCAAGGCTGTGCTCTAGGAAAATTTTCAGGGCGCCCTTCGGGCACCTAACCATGA